AGTCACACCTCTTCCCAGCCATGTTGCCACGGTAACAACTGGGGAGAGTTCACCTTCACAGGCTACACAATTTCAACAACTAGCTGAACAAATCACCCTGCTCCAAGCACAAGTTTCTGCCTTGTCCAGTCAACCTCAGCGTCGTAGCCGCAGCCAGTCCCGTGATCGCCATCGACGCACCCGCAGTCCATCTCCCGATACTCTCTGCTGGTATCATCGCAAGTTTGGTGCTAATGCTCATAAGTGCACCAAACCCTGCTCTTTCACTACACCTGCCTCCTCGTCTTCGGGAAACGGCCCAGCCAGCAACTAGCGGCGACAAGCTCTGCTGGCCCGTCCTCATCTAGTCGCCTATTCTATGTAACGGACAGAGCAACGAAACAGCAATTTCTCATCGACACAGGAGCAGAGGTAAGCGTCATACCATATTCCTCTCGTGAACGTCCTCACCATCGTCACGGTCAAGATCTTCAAGCGGCAAATTCCTCAGCAATTGCCACTTATGGAGAACGATCTTTGACTCTTGACATTGGACTCCGGCGGCCATGCCGCTGGGTTTTCATTGTTGCTGATGTCCAACACGCAATCATAGGCGCTGATTTTCTGCGACACTTCAACTTCCTTGTTGATCTTCGCCATCGCAGATTAATTGATGCAACAACTACATTGAGTGTTACAGGAACATCCTCGAATGCACCACTGCTCAGTCCTGTCCTCGCGACGCCAACCTCATCACAGTTCGCGGACATTCTGAAAGATTACCCCGACATTACGAGACCTTGCTATCGTGACACACCAGTGAAACACAATGTCACACATCACATCGTCACGACAGGTCAACCTTCTGCCGCACGTCCACGCCGTCTTGCACCGGACCGTCTTAAAGTAGCGAAAGACGAGTTTCAACACATGATGGACTTAGGCATCATTCGGTCATCGGACAGTAACTGGTCATCTCCACTTCACATGGTCCCCAAGAAACAACCTGGCGACTGGCGACCATGTGGAGACTATCGCGGACTCAATCGCGCCACTGTGCCTGACCGATATCCTGTTCCGCACGTCCAAGATTTCGCCGCATCCCTACACGGTATGACAGTATTTTCGAAGATTGATCTTGTCCGTGCTATCATCAAATTCCAATGGCACCTGACTCAATCTCGAAAACGGCCATCACTACTCCCTTCGGACTATTTGAATTTGTCCGCATGCCATTTGGGTTACGCAACGCTGCCCAAACATTTCAGCGATTCATTGATGAAGTCACTCGTGGACTTGATTTTTGCTACGCTTACATTGATGATCTGTTGGTCGCTAGCACAGATGCTGACCAGCACGCACAGCATCTCCGCCTACTGTTCGATCGTCTCAGTCAGTACGGAGTCATCATCAACCCTGCAAAATGTCGGTTTGGCGTGAACTCACTTGAGTTCCTCGGACACCAAGTCGACTGCCATGGGGTACGTCCACTCGCAGAAAAGGTCAGTGTAATCTTGAACTTTCCTCCACCTACTACACTGACAAAGCTGAGAGAGTTTCTTGGACTTGTTAATTTCTACCGCCGCTTCATCCCACGGTGCTCTCAGGTCCTTCATCCTCTCACAGCTCTGCTGGCTAACACTGGAAAAAAGTCAGCACCAATCACATTCAATGACGCAGCTACAGCCTCATTTGAAGAAATCAAAGCTGCTCTCGCAAACGCTACCCTCCTCACACATCCCAAGCCAGATGCTCCGCTGAGCGTCATGACGGATGCTTCGGATGTTGCAGTAGGAGCTGTTCTTCAACAATGGGTAGATGATTCATGGCAGCCGATCTCATTCTTCTCCAAAAAGCTCCAACCAGCCGAAACGCGCTACAGCACCTTTGGACGAGAACTCTTAGCTGTGTATTTGGCCATTCGCCATTTCCGTCACTCGCTCGAGGGTCGAGAGTTTCACGTGCTCACTGATCACAAGCCCCTCACATACGCTCTGTGTCAGCATCAATGGACACAATTCACTTGTGACATCAGATACGTCAAAGGTGGTGACAACCCTGCCGCGGACGCTCTTTCGCGTATTGAGCTCAACTCCCTCAGTCCAGAGCAGTCCCACACATCCATCGATTTCAACCAGATGGCTGAATTACAACGACAGTGTGACGAACTCCAACAACTTCGTCAATCCTCATCCTCGCTGTCTCTCAAGGACATGCCACTCCCATCATGTGACACGACCCTTACCTGCGACATGTCCACAGGTAATCCACGACCATTCGTCCCAAATGACTTGCGACGTCAGGTATTCAACGCATTTCATTCCTTGTCACACCCTGGTATTCGTGCTACTCAACGCCTCATCACAGACCGCTATGTTTGGCCAAGTATCAACCGCGATGTAAGAAATTGGACAAAATCTTGCATACAGTGTCAGCGAGCTAAAATCCATCGTCACACCGCTGCACCACTTTCCCAGTTCAAAGGCCCAAGTGCACGATTTGATCATGTACACATAGATCTAGTTGGTCCTTTGCCACCTTCCAATGGATGCCGTTACCTCCTGACTTGCATTGATCGCTTCACGCGATGGCCAGAAGCCATCCCCCTGCCTGACATCACAGCAGAAACAGTAGCCCGTGCTTTCATCACTAGATGGGTTGCTGCATTTGGTGTACCATCTACCATCACAACTGATCGTGGTACTCAGTTCGAATCAGCTCTTTTCGGCGCTCTCACCAATATGCTCGGTACCAAACGCATCCGCACCACAGCATACCACCCAATCGCGAATGGACTTGTCGAGAGATTCCATCGCCAACTAAAGACGTCGATAAAGGCGCAGTTGAATCCTAACAACTGGACAGAAACACTACCACTTGTTCTTCTTGGGATCCGCACAGCAGTCAAATCCGATTTCCATCACAGTGTTGCTGAACTCGTATATGGCACTACCCTTCGCTTACCTGGCGAATTTTTTGACAGTTCTAGTGACATTGCTGAGTTGGACCCGACAAACTATGTTCATCGCCTGAAACGCACCATGCATGAACTTCAGCCACCAACACCCCGCGCGCAACAACGAACAAAAACCAACGTTCCAGACGATTTACATTCATGTACCCATGTTTTCGTTCGTCGAGATTCTGTGCGCAAACCCCTACAACCACCATATGATGGACCGTACAAAGTTCTCAGCTGTTCTGCTAAACACTTTGTCGTCGATTTGAACAATCGCACAGATACTTTCAGCATCGACCGACTGAAAAGTGCGCATTTAGACACTTCTTCTCAGAACACCGCAGTTCCGAAGTCATCACTTCAGTCCGACCCCTCAGTTGACTCAAATGTTCATCCTGAGAACACTAATAACGCAACTCGCACAACCCGTTCTGGACGTAGAGTGCATTGGCCTAAACGCTATGTTACATTCGCTCGTTAATTGCCACACACTCACTGGAAGGGGGCTCCTGTAGCGTTTTCAGATTATCAATTCTTAATTATCAGTTCGTCTTAGTTTTTAGTTAATTATCTCACTTTAATTATCAATGTTCCTTTTGAACTTTTCAATGATTAATTCTCCTGAATGCATTACTCATCATTTTCCTTGTATACACATACACCCACACAGTGCCTATGCAATGTGTAGTCCCTATACTTTTATACAGAGTAAATGACCTTCACTGCCCACACACACAAGTCATTGATCAGTTTCTTCGTACAACCAAGTTACTTTCAAGATCATTGTTTTAAGGAACTATATTACTCATTCCTAGTCATTTTTCTGAGACTCAAGGAAACCAAGATATGACTAAGTTTTCCCATTCTTAAGTATTTCTTATTCTCAAGACTTCCTGTTTCCACCAGTATATAAGTCCTGCTCCACTAGCAGTTCTTCATTCCATTTCTATTCCATTCTGTTTTCTATTCTATTCTGTTTTCTGTTTCAATTCCAATCATGTAGTCAGTTCACCCAGTTCTCTTTGTCTCAATTCACTGTAACCAGTTCAATCATTCAATGTGTAAATAACATAATTGTTGTGGAATAAACAGTCACGGTAAACACAGTCCTCAACCAAAGAATTGTGTATCGACTCATCCATTCCCCAACAATATTTTCCTCATTTCTACCTCCATGAACAGACATGGATTGTGTTTCCAGTGCCTGCCTGTTTCTGTGGGCTTAATTCCCAAATGTAGTCTTCAGGCATGTCAGGGTCTTTATGTTGCCTCTTCATTATTCTTTCCATTTCTTAATAGGTTTCCAAACTTCAGTTCCTTGGCAATTTTGGCGAACTCTTAATTGAAAGTCATTACAAGAAAGAATTTAAGGGTCATTCCATGTCAAATCACCCAATGGGTTAAACCCCACTCCCTTCAATTGGTTCATTTTTTAGTGTATGGGGTAATTTTGGCTGGAAATGCTGAAATTTTAAGTTTTAGCGCTACCACCCGCCACTTTCAAATTTTCAAATGACCATATAAGTTGTTCATCGAAGTTCGTCTCAAGGTCACGGTGTCCACAAGGTCAAAGTAAAGGTCAAATGGTCATCATACATGTACTTCAACTTATTCAAGCTACTCAACAAGAAAATAATGGTAAATTTGGATTTCTTATGATGTTACCTTTCCAAAGCAACCAAGATCAACAAATCTGCAACCATGCCCATCTTGACGAAAAATACCACAGAGTGTTAGGCAATAGCACAAAAAAATTTGGCTCCGATGACGCCCAAACTGAAGATTTCAGCTTTTTCAGCCTAAATTACCCCATAAACTAACGTACTGTCAACCAGTTTGAAGGGGGTGGGGTTTAAAGTTTCAATTTATCCGGTGATTTGACACGGAATGACCCTGAAATGAATTTTATTAACAAAATGACATACATTTGGTGTCAGACCTTCCAATTTGCTATCTAGCTTGTGATAGAGAGATGTTTATAAGTTTTGGAGTGACAAAACACAATGTGTAAGTTGCTGTTACCAATAGGTGTATACAATTACAATGTACTTTATTATGCAAATTTGTACTGTGTCTTCTTGCAGGCATGTGATTCTACCTTCAGCCCTTGTCAAATTGCTTCCCCGAAACCATTTGATGACTGAGACAGAATGGAGAAACCTAGGGGTGCAACAGAGTCCTGGATGGGTACACTATATGATCCATAAACCTGGTATGTTTTTCCTCATATACACATACTGGTCACATTGCATCAAATACAAATGTACATGTAGCTTCCCTTGTCAATGACATCCTTCCTCTGTGAATAATCTAATCATCAAACAAAAGGTTTTCTGCGTCCCCTTTTCAAAATAATAGATTTTAAGAAATGTCGGTTTTGTTCTACATTGTATATGTAGCTGTGCAAAGATGATATTTGGGTTTTTCAATGCACTGATGAGACAAAATGTTTTTTCTGAATAACCATTGAATTGTATATTTTCGGCAATAAATTATTTACAAAACTGCATTGCTTCTACAATTTTTAGGATATGAATAAGTGATTAATGCAGCTAAGTGGACAAATTATTTTCTTGGAGATAAAAAACGTGTACGAAACGTGTATCATGTACGTCAAGAAGTCAACCATTTGAATATTGCATCTTGATGGTAACATTTATCACTTCATCGGTTCCCCTGATATTGTGCAGGCAAAATTTTGTTTGATGACATTTTTATTGTCTCAGCATTATTTCCTAGATTCCCTATATGCCCCCTCCTAGTTTGGCTGCCTTTTTCTTTACTTGTGTATTGTGCTGTATGCATTTGTTGAGACTGTCAGATATCTAACATAAATACAAACCAATATTGTTCTTTTTCAGAACCTCACATCTTGCTGTTTAAGAGACCAAGAACTGACAAACTTCAAGATTAAATCAAGTCTCCTCTTTAATATTTTATCTCAAGGTTTGTTGTTTTGCAACATGTTCCAGTGTTTTGTTGGGGGAGTGAGGGAATGGGCAGTGTTAATGTTTATGGTGTAAATCGAGGACACGTCATTGATGAATTGAGGACAGGAACCAAATCGAGTAGACTCCTCGGTTAGAAAACGTGTACAAAACCAATGAGAGCTGTTGCAAAAAGTTATAAACAAAGGAAGAGGGAAGAGGAACAATAGAAAATCCTTGATTTACACCATAGACAAACATGGGTGTACATATATGGGGGCATGCAACTTTTCCTCGGATCCGCTGATTTCCTCGTTTTTTACTTCACAGGGATGCATGCCATTAGAAATTGCAAAACACTGTACAATGTCTTGTGTGGTTTGGAGTTTTCTCTTTTTCTTATTCCCTGTTGCATGCCTGATGTACACATAGTTGGGATTGGGATATGTGATATTGCATTGGTTGAGAAGTGTCAACCGGATGGACCTTGCACAGTACATCACTCATATAACCCAGACACAGTGTTTTCCATTGATTAGCAGTCCAGCAAGGTGGAATATTGGGTACAAGTTGTGATTGTGGGCTGACTTCATAGATAGCGGCTGCCCTTTCCAGAACACAGGGGCGCTGGTTCAAGAATATTGTTGTTACACTGTGGTTCTTTAAATGTTATGTTTGGTACATTTTTAATTATTGGAAACATATGAAGTGGAGAGGTCTTCTGTGGTGTATAAAGCAATAAAAATTGAAGTGTATAATGTGGAAGAAAAGGCCATCAAAATTCTGGCAGGGCTGCATACAAATTTTGGCAGAGTAGACTGCCCTCCTAAAACCTGTGAGAACAGTGCAGAGCTTGTTTGCTGTCGGTACTGTTAAGTATTATTATCTTTTCTACTTTGTACTGTACAAACAGAGTATTAATAGACAAGGGTTAATTATGTTACCATAGACACAAGACTTACCAATACCCAAAGCACTTGACCGCAAAATATTTAGAGTAGCTTTTTCTTTTAGGTTTAAACTCTGTCATTTGCAAATGATTTATTTCATTATTCTATACAATTAAATTGCATACACTCCTTAAGAAAAATTATGAACAGTCAATATCAGGCACGATATACAAGCAACATGGTTTGAAAAGTCAGTTGGCTTATTGGTTATGGTAAAAATGGAAGATGTACGATTGAAAAGCCATTTTCCCTTACCTTTTTGTAGGCGGGGCATCCATTTTGAAAAGTTTGACCAAAAGAAGAGTCACATATCAAGACTTTATGCAGTAGATGAAAAAAATTGAATTCCAAATTAAGTGTTGAAACACAATTTGGCGGCAGGGACACATTTCATAACATGGGGAGAGAAAAAAGAGATTACAAAGATACGACATCATTAAATCAAAGTCTTGTCAATTTCTTTCTGAATTTGGAATATAACAGTTTAAGTGGTAAATCAAAAAGCAACATTCCAAATTGTATTTTGCTTGTATGCAAAAGAAATTACAAAAAGAAGTATGACATTTACGCTGTATGAAACACGAGTTATTCCAAATTTTCAAAATACTGTTTCGGCCATTTCCCAGAACCATCCAGTTTGAAATGTGTTCCAATTCTTTTCTTCAGAGATAATGGGAAAAAGCAACAACAATTCCGAAGCAACTAATTCCACTATTTTCCCCACATCGCTAGGATGCCGTGGTTGCTTTGCGGTTATAGTATTGGGACCTCCACAACATAAGTGAGAGTATATGTATGTCCCATGGCGCCCTACAAAAACATGGCACACAAAAACACTGCATTATGTGTCTGGGAGATGCCGCCGCCGGGGATTTTATCATGCATGAGTTTACGTTAAAAGCTCTTGTAACTAAACTTGCAATAAATAAAATTAATATGAAACTAGAGGTTTGGCTTTTTCAGATTGTTGATTGTTGTTGATTGTTGTTGTTATTGTTAATGTTGATTGTTGATGTTGATTGTTGGTTGTTTATGTTTATGTTGATTGTTGATTGATGATGTTGATGTTGATTGTCGATTGAATTTGACGGTGGTTGTTCATGTCGATTGTTGATTGTTGATAATTGATTGGTGTTGTTGATTAACGATTATTGATGTTCATTGTTGATGATTGTTGATGTTGGTTGTCGATGTTGATTTTGATTTTTTGTTGTTGATTGTTGATTGTTGATGTTGATTGTTGATTGTTGATGTTGGTTGTTGATGTTGATTGTTGATGTTAATGTTGATTGTTGCTGTTGATTGTTGATGTTGATTGTTGATGTTGATGTTGATTGTTGATATTGTTTGTTGATGTTAATATTGATTATTGATGTTGATTGTTGATGTTGATTGTTGATGTTGATGTTGATTGTTGATGTTAATGTTAATGTTGATGTTGATTGTTGATGTTAATGTTAATGTTTATTGTTGATTGTTGATGTTGATGTTGAGGGTTGAGGGTTGAAAATAGCGCATGGAGTAATTATACAGAGGATAGTTAAAAAGAGTCAGGTGAGGATCTGCACGCACGTATGCTGCTGTACTGTAAACTTATCTAGTACAATTGTTACAAAAACCCATTAAATAGCTCATATCTCTAAAAGTAAAGGTCGCACACCATTGGCGCAATACAAAATATTGCTCGCCATACCCTCTTAACCCCAATGCGCATGTTTTTAGAAAAAGCGCCCAATTTAAAAAAGCGCCCAGTTGGGCGCTTTTGCCAGCCCAATTTTTGAGTATCATATGAGGGGAAGTTCCCTTTTACGCAATCGCAGCACACTGTTTTTCGGGATTTTCCCTTTGTACGCAATTATCCCCATTTGCTGTACACACAACAATCAATGCGTAGGCATGTTCAACTTCAAACTTCAAGGGGGCTGCAGGGCATCTTCTAGTAAATTTATTGTAACGAAACCTTATGAAGTTTTAGACCTATTATTAAAAGTGCCATTTGAAGCACAAAACTGGATTATATCTCTGACGGTTGATTTTTTAGCAATTTTCAAAGGAAAAGAGTTCTTTTCATTGTAACTTCCGGTCTGATGACGTAATTTTTTTTTTTGGCGCACAGGTCTTGTCTGCATTAAGGTCATTATGTATATTACTTTTGAAGCGATTACCGCAAATTTCGCCACAAACATCAACTGAAAATGCGTTTTGGACATTTTTTTACCTGCCGCTAGAGGGCGCTCGAACACTTGATGGTGTCACCGATCATTTTTTTGGAAAGATCAACCCACCCACATGATAACATCGTTGAAAGCAAGTTCATATCTTTTTCCACTTTTGAATTATTAGGCACTTCCGGTTTCGACCGGAAGGAAGGGTCATGTGATTTTACGCACACAAGATTAATTGAAGAGCATGTATTATCATGTCGATTCCCGCAAAATTCAAGTTCCGGTCTCTCACGGTTGATTTTATATTGAATTTCAAAGATTAAATTGATTATTTTTTGAAGTGACGTCACGTGACCCATGATGACGTCATGATGACGTAATTGCAAAAAAGCACATCTTCAGTGGGTTGTGCATTCATGTATTGACAATTGAAGTTCATATGTGTTTTCATTTTGACAAACGGTTCTGGAAACGAATGTGTCTTGGAGAAATAAAAAAAAAAAAAAAAAATAGTAAATTCTTACAATAACAATAGGTGTTGGGCTCAGGCCCAACACCTAATAAAAAAGTTCAAACTTTTTTTTAACAAAACACTTCTTTGTTTCTTTGTCCAATCAGTTCCGTTTGTGTATCTTGCATCATATTGAGAACAATGGGTTTTTTTTCTGAAAACAACTTGAAATTAAAAATTGGAAGGGAAAAAAAAACAAGGAAAATAGCTGCACATCATTCAACCTAGGGCCCCGACAACTTAAGAAAAAAGAATCAGGCAGTTACGTCTCTTTAATGCGGCATTAAAAGATAAAAACTCCATCTTGACTGACTTGGTATGTATATTAAATTTTCATATTTTGCACAAAATGAATTAACCGCCCCGCGAAAGCTGAATTAATAAATCTAATTTTGTGAAGAAATAATTCAGTAACTCAACGGCGGTGGATTTTCTATGAGGGGAAAAAAATCAACTTGTAGGTTATTGGACTTACAAAACTAGGGGTTTTAACTTTTTGAGGGAAATTTTGGGGTAAAGCGAGATGAAGACGACAAAACGCAACAGGAAAATATAAAGATAGTGGTCACCGCGCGCGACGCGCGCTCAGTGGACACGCAAAACCGCATTGCTTTGCATGGCACCAACCGTAAAACGCGTAAGAAAATCGCATTTTCTGTCGCAAAACAAATGTTCAAAATTACTTTCAAAAAATGATGTCATTAGAAAGCGAAGTCTGCTTTAGGTTGAAAATGTCATTTTGGAATGATACAAAAACACCCTCGAGTCTAATTTGACGAAAACTTATATGGTATGGGCTCGGTGCATAATTTATAGGGCCTACCCCTTTAACGGCCAGAACAGGAGAATTAAGGTATAATAGCAAAATTTTGCCAAATGCACGTCAAAAATCTGCTAGACTTAAAGGGAAGATACAACATTTGCAAATATCAAAAAACAAAATGATCACATTATCACGAAATTCTTTACTGGACTGTTAGGGAATGACAGTCTAAAGTATCCTGTACAATCATGGCTCCTGGTGTGCTGACATTTTTAAGTAAAGCGGTATTTGTGTATCTATTTCCAATGGCTTTTTTTTTCAAAAATTGCTGCTAATTTTTCATATTTAGTTATTCCGCATTTTCTTTGCAATTGATTACACACCTGTGAAGGGGTACAAGCCAGCTCAACCTCGTCCCCAGGGTGTCGAGCAGTACGCGTCCACCACTACCTGCTCTCTCACTCTGGTATTGGATCATTTGCATGTGCAAGATTTTTGAACACGTATGTAAATGAGGAACAGTCTGGTGCCTGGATATATGCGTTACACATTAGCGTTTGTTTTGGTATGCGGTGTCTGGGGTAAAAACAAAGTCAATTCGTAGCAGCGCGAGCACGGCGTGAGTTACGAAAACACGATTTTTGAAATCAAACTGTTACGATCGATCTTATCGAGACAACATGCAGTATCATATTTCATATTGATATGAGCAAATTGGAAAGGAAATTAGTATTTTCGAGAAGGCGTGGACGAATGATCGCGAAAACACGTACTGCATGTTGTGAATAATAGCACCAAGTACACGATAAAAATCCATTACTAGCCAATTGCGGTATCCAATCAGGATACAGGAAGAAAGTTTCCTATCCAGGGTTTACTATTGGAAACGCGGTTGGAAATAAAGTAAGCACTGGGGACGAGGTTGAAGCCAGCTAGACTGATTCTCTGACCTAATAATCCTCCCACATCTAAAAGTGCTCCGTTTCATCTTAAGTGGGGTCAGGGAACCAGACTTCAAGAACATGATTGGTTTTCTTGGTTTTTCCAGCATCTATGAACCCAAAACGTGAAACAAGTCAGTGTAACAATATTTGCTATAACATACTATTCATCCAAATCCAGTTTCTGAAAGTTACAGCAAAAGAAAATGTTGTACATTCCCTTTAGCAAATATTTGGTAAACTATGAAGCCCGGGAAGGGACAGGGTGGAAATTTTTTTTGGCATTTGCTAATTCGTTCGCACGAATTACTAATTCGTTCGCACGAATTACTAATTCATTCGCACGAATTACTGTTTCGTTCGCACGAATTACTAATTCGTTCGCACGAATTGATAATTCGTTCCCACGAATTACCAACTTGTTCCCACGAACTACTAACTCGTTCCCGGATCCACGAGTTTGATGTCTGGGGGACCCCCGTGCACCCCCCAGAACTAATTTTCACCAACTTTTTGGGGTGCTTTATCCTGGCGCCCATCCTGGCCGCCATCTCGAATTTGAAGCATGAAAGCAAAAAAAAACAGGATACCAGAAATAAAATCTGTGAGGGTCAAAAACATAATTAATTAACCATTTTATTGATGTTTTTATCACACTATTTGGTTTATGTAGGTTTTCCCGGCCAACTTCAACAATTTTTCATTCAATTTAACGCCTGGCTCGTTCAATTTAATTTGAAATTGAACAATCACGCAGATCGTCATTCGACAATCAAAAAAGAATCATTCGATTTCACTATCCAAGCAATCTATCGCCTTTTAGCTTCACTTGTCCCTGTAAAAGGTGCATTAAAAGTATCGCGTTGTTCAATCAATCTCGACTGAACCAGTAGTAAGTGGTTGATTGGGCATTCCTTTTCATTAATGGGCAAACATATTTCACTTTTTGTCAAGATGTTTTAAGACTTCCTGCATGTAAAATTCTGAATTATCTCGGCGTAAATCATATCTGATGTCTTCAATCCGTAAATGGACACCTCTCTTTCTTAATTAAAGGGTCCGTGAATGATTTTGTTCTCATGAATACATTTTGTGCAACTTTCTACTACTCTGAAATGTATGAAAGATATTTTGACATCTTTTTTGGGGGTTAGTCTTATTGCAAGTGCACGTCTTTAACATTTAAAAGTTCCATGCTTTTCTGTTGCTGTGATGTGATTTCAGGAAGACACTGTTCAGTTTAGGGGGTTTCTTTCAAATTATTCACCCAAAATTTGCTAAGAAAACACTTTTGAGAAAGGATTGCTCATTGGCTTACTGCCAAGTACTGACACAACAAAGAATCACCAAAGAAAAGAAATCGTAACTTTTTTTGTGCTGAAATAGCCCAGTAACATTAATCTTCACAAAATGACATCAAAATCTTGTTGATGCGTGAATATGGAACTTTGCATCATCATAAAAACGGAGAAAGCACCAAAAACACCCTTCAAAATGGAAAGAAAGTTGAGAATAAGGTTAAAATGTGACACAAAGATGTGTTTTCCAGGTTTGCATTGAACAATTA